AATATCAGGCCGCAAGTGATTGTGCCATCTCTCTCTACATTGCTTCCCGATCCTACCAACCAAATTCTTAGCAATCTGAGACCACTTCCTTACTCCATGTTGCTTCACCAATTTCACCAACAAACTATACAACAAAAACAAAATACATACATTAGCCAAAAATAGATATCATAAAACCAAAAACTTTAAAGAATTACAGTAATAAAATAGATCACCTATCTTCTTCTGCAGTCCATTGCCCCTTAACAACATTTACATTATTCGAACTAGCAGAAGAAGAAAAAGAAACCCCCTTAACCCCTCCAACTTCAACAACTTCCTTCCCCTTCTCACCATCAAAATCTCCATTATCGAACCTTGTACAGTATGAACCTTCTCCTTCAACAAGTAGTCCATTATAAATCCCTGAATCATCTAACAAAATGCCGTGAGGGAGAACGGCGATTGAACCAAGAGATGAAGAAGACTCATACAAATTTGTTCGGTTGGTACTTAACATCTCATCCTTCTTCATCACTCTCTTTGGTACATTACTATCAGTCTTGTTACTAGAGAGATCGAGCTCTCTATCACAAGGGCTTGATAGAAACCTCGCCAACGGCGTCAATGGCGCTTCCTTCTCTAAGTGATTCCACACAAGATGAGCTCTTCTTTCCATTGAGGTAGAGAGGCAGAAGAGAGAAGTGCAAGGGTTTGATGAGAGAGCTATACACTTGTTAGTGCTTATAGTAGTAGTAAAAAATGCACATGAGGAGGGTTTGCTATATAATTAATAAAAACCTAAGTAATGATATTTGCACCTGAGTTTGCTAACGCTCAGTCACTGACTTATGGGTCCCACGAATAGGTTGGGTTTTAAATCGTGAAGGAAAAAGGAGCTTGAGGTATGGAGCCACATAATATAATACTAAATACGGGATTAAATTAACTTGCCAAATTAGCGCAGCTAATACTGTTTAAATTCCCACTTTTGAAACTTCCATTGAGCTCATTTTAATGGTGAAAAATTGTCATCACATGTTATGAGTACGTGTTAAATTTTTATTAAATTCTAGTCTTTAAAGCTCATTAATTCTTATTAAATTTATGAGGGGATATTGCTAAGTGGAGAGATTAGTGGTAATTTCCTTCAATTTGATATGAATTTGGCTCATCTTACGCTAATTGGATCCAATTATACCGCAAACAAGTTAGGCCTAGGACAGAGACTGTCTTCGATTTGGTGAGTTCGATGCATTTTAAGAGATGGTGGTCAAAGTTATTGTTCAAAATTAGTCTTTTTTTTATTTATTTTCTATACGTCTAAAGTAATTGGGAAAGGTTAAACTACCAAATTGACATTTAAAAAAGACCCACATTAGTATTTAAAATATCTTCGAAGATGTTTTGATATTTAAAGTGAGTTTAAGTTGGCAATTGGGTCCAAATTTTCGTCGGCGCTAACTTTTCTGGCTGGAAAGTTTCTTTGCAACCCCTAACGTCTTAAAATCATTGTATTTTATATCCTTCTTCTCCTTCTTCCAGAAATTTTCTTCCCACCCCCTCCCTCAAACACATCCCCTTCCTCAGCCACCGCTCCCCCCCCCAACCCATCCCTTTCCAGAAAATTCCTTATTATGATTAATGATTTTTAAAGAAATTTATCAAATTTTCTTAGTTGAATAGTTCAAGCACATCCAACCGTGAATTCAGTGAACTCTCAAGTTATTCAATTCAAAATCATTCCATTTTATGAATTAATCCTCTGTTCATTATACAGATTTACTCACTCAGTCTATTATCTCAAGCATATCTTGCCATCTCTAACAACAGGAACAATCCCTACACAATCATGCAATTCAAAGTAAAATCCTACAAGTTATCATCAAGACATCAATGAGGAACAAATGGATTGTTCTGATTTCTCTTTCTAAACCAACACCAAGCCTCAAAGCTTCATGCCATCTTCAGTAATTATCTCTAACCCAACACTTCTCGATAATCACTTTGTATTTAAAGTGAGTTTTTGCTTGACATGATGACGATGCACTTGAGTGGTGGTTGATGGGTGAGTTTGAGTGTTGAGGGATTNAATTGGAATAAATTTTCTGGAGGAAGTAGAAGAAGGGTATAAAATACAATGATTTTAAGACGTTATGGGGTGCAAATAAATTTTCTCACCGGAAAAGTTAACGCTGACGAAAATGTGGAGCAAAGTGCTAACTTAAACCCACTTTAAATACCAAAGTATCATCAGAGATATTTTAAATACCAATGTGGTAAAACGAGTCTTTTTTAAGGCTGTGTTTGGTATGAGTGGAAGACAAAGAAAAGAAAGGGAAAAAGAAAGAGAAAAGAAACCAAAAGAAAAAGAAAGGAAAATAAGATTTCTTTTGTTGTTTGATTAGCTAGAAAATTATAAAGAAAATAGTAAGGAAAGTAAAATACATTCTGATACATTTGAAACTTTCTTCTCTTCTATATATAATATTCTATCTCTTTGCGTAGTTTTTTTGGGTTACTTTTGAAAAAACTCTTGAATTTTGAGGAGATTTGTAGATAACCCCTTAACTATTTTAGTCATTAACTTGCCATGATATGTGAAATATATGATTTAGCGATGTCACTTTGGGTTTAAAGTAGAAAATATTCAAAGGATTTAGTAGAATAAAAGAAGTTAAATAAGTTTGGGGGGTTTAACTACAAAACTCCAAAGTTCAAGGGGCCTAAACCTTTTGCTCATTCAACTTTTTATTATTTTTTACTTGGCTTGGGGCCCCATGTAATAGAAACGGAGCTTTGATATAAATTTATCCTTGGACCCACATGTAATCAAAATGAGACGGGGGAGTGTCTTTCGGTGCTCGAGGAGGCGATTGAGCAGCCTCCAGCAGTGGCCCAATGTTTTTCCCCATCATTTTCACTGGGTTTGGATGATGAAAACCAAAATAAAAATTATAACGGTTTTTTTCCTCTGGATTTTCATTTTACTTTTACTTTTTATCTTTCTTCCTAACCGAAGATAGCAAAGTCAAGCGTGGGCCTTTGGCCCAGCTATGAGAATCATTTCGAGCTTGATTTCTATTCTATTGTTCAACTTAGCTCATTGGATAATTCGTAACGAACCGAATGAAAGAATACGTTGTCTTAAAACTTTAGGATGAGGGTGTCCTTGTTGTCCTTTTAGGGTCTGTTTGGTTTGAATGAAAGTTAAGGAAAAGAAAGGAAAACCATAAGGAATGTAAATTTTCGTAGTAGTTTGGTTAGAGGGAGAACCAAAACGAAAATGAAAATAAGATTACCTAGAGAAAATAAGTAATATAAACTTTCTTTTCTCTTTTCTCCACCGGACCCTAAGGAAAGGTAGGGAAAAAGGTGTTGGGGCCGAACTTTGAAGGCGCCCATCCCTAAATAATCTTCGCAACCCGTGTCTCCTACCTCTTAGGGGCTGTTTGGTTGTTATTAGTAAAGTAGTGTATTTATGGCACAACTTGAAAAGTTGTTGTCCACCTCATCAATTTCACTTTTATACTTTTCTTTGTTTGTTTTTTATTCCATTAGAATCGTTGTCCACCTCATCAATTTCACTTTTATACTTTTCTTTGTTTGTTTTTTATTCCATTAGAATCATAAATTGCTTGTTTGGTTTGCAAATGTAACTTTAATTGTTTGTTTGGAAAGTGTAAAAAGTGGTCCCTACTCAAATGATTATATTGATTGAAATTATTTTTTATTATTTGTTCCTGACTTCAATGTCAGCTTTCTCCTAAAATCATGTTTTTTTATGAAATCACTTTACACTATTTTCACAACTACAAACAAACAATTGAAAGTGATGAAAGCTAACATTGGGACCCATTTTTTTTACACTTTCCATCCTTTTATATGGTAAAAACATACCACCAAACAGCCCCTTAGCTAATTCTAAGTGGGCCCCACTTATTATTAAGATGGGTCAGCAAGGGTTGAACCTTTTCTCTTTTCTGTCTAACCAAACATATAAAAAAATTTATTTCTTTTTCCTTTTCTTTTTCTTTCTTTTCCTTTTCCATTTCATTTTCTTTTCTTTCACTTCACCTCAAACCAAACACAGCCTTATTGTTTCCTTGTGATGGTTGGCAAGCGTATCTGAGATGAACATGGAGTTCAACAGAGAGAGATATGACGATAGATTCAACACTTTAACGAGCCGCAAACAATGGTGGAGTCGACATTTTATCCCAATAACCTCGTCATATGTCTTATCATGGTTGAATTTGATATGTTTTGATAACTTAATAGTTTTGTCTTCTCTTTAGTGGTGGTGTCCTCTTCTAATTTTAGTGATATCCTAAACAATAAATACAAGTAAAATAAATATCATTACCTATAAAATAAGAAATCTGAAGGTGTCGTGTGACATCATTGCATATTAACTGGCTGGCTAGCTTCGCCCCTGACTAGACAACATGATAATCCAAACAAATTAAAGTCAATTTCATGGACATGTGGGAGAAAATCCTTGAATAACTAAAGAACCTAGAAAATAAGACTTGTATAAGCCGCTGAAAATAACTATTTGTTAGTCATATTTTATAAGCTACTTCTAAGAACACTAAGATGTTTGGTAAATTTATGCGTAAAAATCAATATTAACTAAAAATATCATAAGGTACCTCTAGGAACAGTTCGATGTTTGGTAAGTTTATACTTAAAAATCAATATAACTGAAAATATCAAAACTAGGCATAATTTTAACTATCAAAATAGACAAGAAGTTTTCGAATAGATAAGAGTAGTAACATCAAAAGCAAAATGATATTCATTATATTGAAACTATAAAAACCGGAGGCCTTTTAAAAGCATCCCAGGTAGGTTGCTTATAAAACCATCCCCTTAAAAGTAGGCCCAATCAATCAAGGAGCGTGCAGCGAAAATATCCGACTCAACGCGGTATCGGGTCCATGGATCCAAGGTCCAAACCCGTAATTTCGATTCGGTTCTGGATCCGCCCATATAAAAATCAACCGCTCACCAATAAATATCTGGCAGACTCAAAACCCTCAAACCCGATAAAACCTTCTCCAGTCTCCCCCAAATTCCCCCAAATTCGGAAAGTGTAGCCCCAAATTCCCAAACCCTAGCCCTAATTAATGGCCGCGGCCGTAGCTCCTCCTCTCCGGAATCGGCAAGGCCCAAACCGCGGGCTTGACGATGACAACCTGGTGTTCGAGACGAGCGCAGGAGTCGAGGCGATCACGAGCTTCGACAAGATGGGGATTCGCGATGATTTGTTGAGAGGGATCTACGCGTACGGATTCGAGAAGCCCTCGGCGATTCAGCAGAGGGCTGTGATGCCGATCGTCAGCGGTCGAGATGTGATCGCTCAAGCTCAGTCTGGGACCGGGAAGACCTCCATGATCGCTCTCTCGGTTTGTCAAATGGTGGACACGACCTCGAGAGAGTGAGTTTTCTTCCTTTGGTTTTAGTTTGGTTGCCCTAATATTTTGTTGAACTCGAGTTAGTGCATTCTATGGTTATAGTTATTGTGAAACTTCAATTGTTTTGCGACATAAAATGTCGAGTTGTTTAGTTAACCTAAAGCTAGGGCTTGATAATGAAAAGTACATAAAAGTTAGACCCTTAAATTTCTTTAAACCCTAAAGAGTTAATTGTTTAGGCGGTCTTTATAGATGTTTAATGGATGCGCTTGAATTTAGAGTTATAAAGCTATAGTTGAAATTGGATACAGATGATTCATAGTTGATAATGTTACTTAACACCTTGGAAAGGGCTAAAAAAGTATTGTTTCTTATATATTAATAATTTTGGTTTTTTTAAAATTTTCTCTGCTTGTCTTCTTTCATCTCTGTTCTTTGTCCCCTTCAAGTACTGGTTTTGTTTAATTTCGAGTCATTCTTTTGGGTTCTCTGTCGTCATGGTTGTGGGGTTTGTTTCTTTTTGATAAGCTATGGTACTTGATTACTAGTGCTTGAATTTAATATGTTCTCTTGGTTTTGTTAGCAAATCCCCAGTATTTTTCCTCTCTCATAAATCGAAGGAAGATATAAGAAGATTTAACTTCCAAAAATTATTGTATTGAACAGTCATTCATCAGTCAACAACCGAATCGATTTACGTTGAGGTTTTGAGTTAATTAAAATGTTGGACATCCTTGGGAAACCTAATGCAATCGGGATGCACTTGTGGTGATCTGTCGTAGCCGCAAGACATGTCAAGTTTTTACGGGAGTTTTTGTTGAGAATTGTTGCATCCTTCATTTAGTATTTCTACACTGAATTATTCTGAATTTATACTCGATAACTTTTTTACTTGGAGCTAATTAAATAGCACAAAAGGAACATTTGGGTCATTAGCTACAGCACGTGCAAAAGCTTTATTATTGTAGCTAATTAATGACCTAGTGTGGTCCTTTTGTAATTCTATATTATTATCTGAGATTCTGAAGTTCTTTTTCCAGATATAATCTTTTTCCAGATATAAAGTGAGCATTTGCCAAAACCTAATGGAAACTCATTTCTCTAAGTGACAGAATCACAATTTTGCTTTAGTTTGGTTGTCTTCTTAGATTGCTTTCTAGACTTAATTTGTCTTCAATAATTCTGATCATCAGATGTTAAGTTTGGTATGCAGAAGAAAAAACGCAAATTGACATGTGGTTGTTATCTCCTCTCTCTAGAGGATACATATTGTTATGTGCGCATTCAAGGAGTTTCTTTATTAAGTTTGTGGCAATCGTCTTACAGGCCTTCCTCACAATCTTTCATTTTCTATTATGCTGGATGTGTTAGCATTAGAAATTAAGGTCGATTTATTAAGATATTAATTATCCTGACATATTGTTTTATGTGAATTCCTTTACATGTTCTTTCATGCTTGATTATCTCTCTTGAAGAGCTATGTGTGCGGTGTGCGCCTCGTATCACTCGGGCGCGTGCATTGCGTTACGCCTTGCGCATGTGCGCATAAACATACTTTGCGCCTCGCTTTGCGCCTCGCATTGCGCCTTGCGCCTTGCGCCTTGCGCATTGACAACACTGCTAGCAACAAAGATTACGTAGAACCTTGATCTTATTCAGCAGTTACTTAATTAAGTCTGCATGTATATCTGTTTCTTTTGTTTTTAGGCTGTTATAGCAGCCCATTTTAATGTACGTGAGCAAGATCCTTTTGTACCAGGTTTATTCATGGATTTAGGTGCTGGAATTATTTTGTTCTATAAGCCTGTATCCTAATTAGCTGGCAAAATGAAGTGTCCAGTATTACCTGACCGATACTGAAGCTTTCAGCTTAATTACAGGCCTTTTCCTTTATTTACTTCCATGTCTCTCCCCAATAGAGCATGCAGTCCATCTTGTTTATCTCGTTAATGGAATGTTGAGGTTGATATTTTGTGTATTTATTCTGCAGAGTACAGGCACTAATTCTTTCACCCACGAGAGAACTTGCCACTCAGACTGAGAAAGTAATATTGGCTATTGGTGATTACATAAATGTACAAGCCCATGCATGCATTGGTGGGAAGAGCATAGGAGAAGATATCAGGAAACTGGAATATGGTGTTCATGTGGTTTCAGGAACACCTGGGAGAGTTTGTGACATGATTAAGAGAAGGACCTTGCGTACAAGAGCGATTAAAATTTTAATCCTTGTATGTTTCATATTCTCATATCAGTTCTGAATTATCCATGTCTAACAGCTTGGATTCACTAATTCCGTGGGTTTGCAACAGGATGAATCTGATGAAATGTTGAGCAGAGGTTTTAAGGATCAGATATATGATGTCTACAGATATCTTCCCCCAGACCTTCAGGTATGTCTTTTAATTAGCAGCTGTATAGTCTTTGTTGTTGCATGCATCTAAATTTTGTAATTTGGTCGTAGGTTGCCCCAAGTTAAAATCTTCAAATATCTTTGACATTGTCCTACCTTTTTATTTTTCATAATATTTAGTTAATTTTCCCTTGATGACAATTGTGTCAACTGTCAACCTAGAATCTTTGCCAAGATGGACATCAGAAATGCAATTTTAGTTGAGTTTTGAGATTGATTTCATAACTGATGAATAGCCTACAAAATGTACACGTAAAACTGATCGTGACTGACCCTTGAAAATAACTTATCCTTAAGACCTTTTTCTCCTAGGATCTAGGGCTACAATATGATCATTTTCCTTAATCTGTCCAATTTGAAAAATTCCTCTGTTGATCCTGGTCTGTACAATATGCAAGAGACTTGAATGACATGACTTATTTAGATGCTGACATGCTGTTAGTCTGACTGGTATTGGAAGTGCATGTTATCAATATAAATGGCATGATTTATATTGGTGCTGTTAGTTTGACTGGTATTTTTGTTAGTCTGACTGGTATTGCAAGTGACATAAATGACATGATTTATTTATTTTTCTGAACAACAGTTTGTATTTATAGTTGATGTGATTTTCTCATGTCTTGCAATTCTCATCTCTTTTTGCTCTTGTAGTTTGGGTGGCGTTGGAGGTTGCTAACATTATCAACTCTAATGTGATTTAAATAATTGGGTTAAGCAGTTTTTCTAAGATCCACTATAAGTAATGTTATTTAGGTATAAAAATGCCAGCGAACAGCTTATGAGGTTTGGATATGTATATTCTCACCCAATAATCCAAAGTGAAAATGTTAATTATCTGCTCATATATTGGTCGGACAAAAGTCGGCTTCTTTAATTAATTAATGAACTCTTGCATATCTTTGGGTAATTTTTACTATGGTGTCCGTAATACCTATGATATTTATTGTCAGGTTGTTCTGATATCTGCAACACTTCCTCATGAAATATTGGAGATGACTGGCAAGTTTATGACTGATCCTGTAAGAATACTTGTCAAGCGTGATGAGTTGACACTGGAGGTAAATAATTAGCTGATTACTTCAAGTAGTTTGCTCTGTTAAATCTTTGGATATTTAACCCATGTACTTGTTTGTTGCTTTTCTATTTGTATACAGGGTATCAAACAGTTCTTTGTTGCTGTTGAGAGAGAAGAATGGAAATTTGACACGCTTTGTGATCTCTATGACACCCTAACCATCACCCAAGCTGTTATATTCTGCAACACAAAAAGAAAGGTAATATGCATGTTCTGATTTTACAGTATTGCAATATTACGAGTAAGCATTATCTCATTTTGTGTGCTTGTTTCTACTTGTCTTTTTTATTTTATTTGTACTTGGATCAGTGGCTGATTGGAGCTGTTTCGCAGATCAATGCAAGGAATCACGACCTTTTCCTTTTTCCTTTCACACAAGGAAAATTGATTAACACCAATTATTCTTTTTTCCTCTTCAGTCTTTGCATATTCCTTTTCCCTCCTGCATATCATTTTCTTAATCATTCCTTTCAGTGGAGTTGGTTTATTGGTCACATGTTAGGGATCCAAGAAGTAATCATGCATAGAGGGCCTTCATGCATAGAGGGCCTTCAGGTTTGAAAGTTGAATTAGGAGGATGCATGCAAGAGTAAGCAAGAGACTTGCACAGGAAATTAGGATAAATTTGCTGCATCCGATGCCATGTCATATGTTCCGATCAAGGCATGGAGTTGATATTTTCTCTGATTTAACACGAAAGGTCAAGTTTTTGACAGTTTCTGGCTAAATTTGTTTTTAAAAAATCTTGAAACAACAGTTACTTACTCGTATACCTTTATATCCACCAGTTTTTAGTGCTGGCTGGAGAGTTGCTACTGGAAACATAAATTCCTGCTTTTTGTCATAATATGTTACCTATTTACATACATAAGTAAATGTGAAAATAGATAATAACATCTTAACATAATTATGTACTGTATGATAGGATCCAGCATAGTTCAGTTAATTGATATTATCTGGGTCTTGTTGTTTTCGAATTGAAGACTTAGTTTTCGACTGTTTCTTGAATTTGTTATTCTTGTATCTTGAAAGCGGAGGAAGTGTCATTTTTGTCCTTATGTTTTACTCATTTTGTGAAGGAGAATGTCCTAAGAGGTATTTTTGCGTATATAACTTCCACACGTCCACCCCCTTCTTTTCCTATCTACACGTGTTTGCTTTATGCTCAGTGCTTCATGACAACCATGATGTGGACAAAAGGTTTAAGTCACAGGGAAACCTCAGCCATGAAAAAAGGCAGATGTAACTTAAAATTGGTGAAGGCCCAGTTAGAATCAGGACGGGACAGACTTTAGGAGGTTGATCCTAATGAAAATTCGTCACTGATAGTAAAGCTTGTTGTTTATCCCTGATTTTTTACGGCACTGTTCCTTTAATGTCTGGTCATTCAGAAGAATTAATTTGTCTTACGAAAACTTATTACTTGAGCTTAAGTATAATCTTAAGAAACCGATCATTATGATTGCCTTGCAGGTTGACTGGTTGACAGAAAAGATGCGCAGCAACAACTTCACAGTCTCTGCTATGCATGGGGACATGCCTCAGAAGGAGCGTGATGCAATTATGGCAGAGTTCAGGTCGGGTGCTACTCGGGTGTTGATCACCACAGATGTGTGGGCTCGAGGCATTGATGTTCAACAGGTCACCATTTTTTCTCCATACATTTTCTTTTCTTCATACAGTTTGGTATACCTTTTTTAAAATTTTAATAAACCGCCATAAAGATAAGTTCCATGTTAAAAGGTTCTTCACTAATTAGATCGCATGGATATCATGGGAGGAGAATCATACGCACTCCCAGAAAAAAATAAAATAATAAAGAGATGAGAAAATTGGAGGGAGGAACTCCAACCAGTATTTCATGCATAATAAAAACTCTAGTATTCGTTTATCGTTTGTCCTATAATTTTGGTGCTCTAAAAAAAATTCTATTTCCATGTTCGCTAGTGCATCTTACTGACTTGCTGAATCTGTAGGTGTCCCTCGTGATAAATTATGATCTCCCAAACAATCGAGAGCTCTACATACATCGAATTGGTCGATCAGGGCGTTTTGGGCGTAAGGTATCAGTTTGAAATTCTCTCTTCAAGTTTCACGACATTCTTTTGTTCGTATTGATTTTACAAAGCAAGTCTTTCTCTGATTTAATTGATAATGTAAAGCTCATACATATATTTGGGAGTTTTGCAGGGTGTTGCCATAAACTTTGTAAGGAAGGATGATATCAGGATCCTTAGAGATATTGAGCAGTATTACAGTACTCAGATTGATGAAATGCCGATGAATGTGGCCGATCTTATTTAAGGACTCGGAAGGAATCATAATCTGTTGTCTGAAATGCCTCCAATGTTACTTCTTGGCTCTCTTAATCTTGTGGAGTTTGCTGTCTGCTAGTGATGATAAGATTTGCGCTGGCTTGTCTCGAAGTGTTTGTGTCTAAGAAGCAACTTAGCAGTGCTGTGGCTTGCTAATTTGTGGGGGATTTTGTGTGGCTTGCTTGTCTCTGATGCGCGGATGATCCTGTTTGGTTCCGTTACGGGTGCTCTTATTTGACTTTAGGGTCTGTAATTTGCTGATGGTGATTAAAGATTCATGATTTTAACTGTTTTGTTTAAAATATTTATATGAGCTTTTGGCATGAGGCTTCTGCTTGTGGAGTGCTTTATCAAGTTCTCCGTTTAACCTTTTTCTCTCTGAATGCCGTCAGTTCGTCCGACGATATTGATTTCGCTGCTGAACTTGCTTGTTTATTGTTCTCTAAACTCGCCACGACTCGTTTACTACCCGAAGGCAGTTAAACTCCATAATATTTGTGTTTACGTGGAATCAGCGTGAAAGTCGAGCAGATCGAACTTGTGCTCGTGATTATGAATGAATTATTGAAAGTAGTCCTGAGCTAATAAAAGCTTCGTTTGTCATTGTGATTTCATTATTGTATATTTGTTAGGATTCCGTATTGTTTGAGGATGACGCGCGCGGTGAGTGCTTTAATTGAGCTCGTTCGGTCATTAAGCTTCACATCTCCGGGCTAATCGTCGACTGTTCCGCAGCAGTTCTCTTTCTCTCTCTCTCACAAAAACCCCAGAGAAATAATGACCAAGCTCTTCTCGCTCCTCCTCGTTATCTCTTTCCTCTCCCTCTTCTCATCCGCCGCCACCTCCTCATCATCGAGGCCCCCTCCAAAATTTCTCGGCTCCGCCTTCGCCCGATCAAAGCCCAACCGAAACTCTCCTCCCCCCTACCGATACGAAACCCGATACTTCCGCCAGAACCTCGACCACTTCAGCTTCGCCCCTCTCCCCCAGTTCACCCAGCGATATCTCGTCGGGTCGTCCGATAAATGGTCCCGAAACGGCCCGATATTTTTCTACTGCGGGAACGAGGGCGACATCGACTGGTTCGCTGCCAACACCGGGTTCGTCTGGGAGATCGCGCCGAAGTTCTCCGCTCTTGTGATCTTTGCCGAGGTGAGATTCTCCTGAAAACGTTAAGAGGGTTTTAATCTTGATACCCATTTAACTTTCCTCAAAAGAACACCTCAAACCTCATTAAATTCTCCATTTTTTTTGCCTTGAGGATAGCTCGATGGTGGATGCTTTTGCCAAAAGTTGAAAATTTGATGGAATTTTAGTGTATTAAAGTGCCAAAAAAAATCTGAACTTAATGGGTAACTTTCAGTAAGAGGTTGACTTTTGTTTCTGAATGATAAAGTTAGTACTTTTAGCCTGGTTACTAATGTAATCAATGTAACTTGATGTTTGGTGAAATTGTACTCTTTTTCTATGAGGTGAATTTATGAAGTTAAAATGGTTTATTTTTTAAATGGAGACATCCTATTTTGATGAGTAGTCTTTGTTGATGTGAGATGCTGTTTAAGTAAAGAAAATGAAAAGTTGAGTTCTCAAATGAATTGGGTTAATAGTGAGGGCTTAACTTTCTGTTTGTAAATGATAAGGTCAGTATTTTTAGCTTATTTGTTGATGACATCATTGACGGTAGATGAATTTTAACTCTTTATCTAGGAAATGAATTGAAAAGCTGAAATAGTTAAACATGGGCTAGCCGTTATTAGTTGGCTTTATTGTAATTTAATGAGGGGTCCTGTTGAAATAAATAACAATTGAAATCAACAGATTGTGGTTATCGTGCTTATGATATGATGGTTCAAGGATTAGTTTATTCGCATGCATGTTAAGATGGCACTATAATGAATGGTAAGCTAATTATTCTATCATCTGGTTCTGTTTCAAAGAACAAAATAATTTATTGAATCACTCTACGACGTGGGAGGTTATGAGAAAATTGGCCCCCAGTTTATCCACTGACTGGATGACCTTCTCCTAGTCCTACTTTCCCTAATCTGCACCTGGCAGCAAACCATTAGAAGGCACCGAGGAAGTTGTTGGCACTGTGTCTTTGATTCTTTGTAGAAATTCATGAGAATTAGATAAACTTAGAGATCTATCATGATTAGGAGTTTAGGTTCCATCATGATTAGGAGTTTGAATCCTATTCTAATTAGGAAGTTAGACTAGAGGTAGGATTTTAGTTTCTCTATATATATTCTTCTATTGTTGGAGCAAAAACTAAAAGAAGAAGAGAGTAGAGAGAAGACGTAGGAGAGAGAGAGCCAATGTTCTTGTAATCTAGGGTTAGCAGAGGGCGTAGCCTGATTCAAGAATATTGTGCGAGAGACGATGGTTACGTGATCTTTATCCGTGCAAAAGATTACAAGGATTGAGCTTTGAAGAGAATATGAGAGTTGATTATGTATGTGAGGTTGAGAGATTGAGAGACGAGAGTTTCCTCTTGTAGTTCTCCCTGGTACATAGTGAATTTCTCGTATTGTTGCCCGTGGACGTAGGTTGACCGAACCACATAAATCTCGGTGTTCTTTTTTTTCTTGATTGTGATCGTTTTATATCTTATTGATTATGGGTTGGCTTCGGAGTTGCGCAAATCGTAGTAGACGGGGAGACTAAAATTCCCCAACAAGTGGTATCAGAACGATGATGATGGATCTAGGAGTGAATTCGCAAGATAGAAGACGACGTCGTGCAAGATTGAAGATTGGCGTTACAAAAATCAAGATGAAAAGAAAAAGAAAAAGGAAACTACTGTAGCAGCTGCATACTGTAGCGGCTGAGAACTGTAGTTAGATACTGTAACAGGAATACTATAGCGGCACGACGGGTATTGTTCACACAGATCCAACGGTTGAGATTGATTTGTCTTTTGATCAAGGATTTGGAGGCAGATTTTGGTGATTCAGGAGTCGTTTCTAGTATTTTTCGACGTGCTGAGTTCATTTTTGGCGTCAGTTTTATCAAATTCAATCTCTACAGTGACTGATTTGAATTTTGATCGTTGTTAGAGAATGATGACTTCTTCAGGTCCGAAGTTCAATATTCTGTTATTCAACGACAAGACAGATTTGATGACAGATAGGGCAAACAAGTATGCGACAGATGAAACTGGCGTAAAGAATCAAATGTGATTCTAGCAGTAAAGTTGTTAGCATATAATTATTCAAACCCATCGCGGGAGCAGTAGTTGGTTGGTGTGTAGACTCGAGGAGAACAATACCAAATTAGATGGAGCTTGCAAGCTGACACAACCTAGTGACTGTAGGCGTCAAAAAATGCTGAAAGATATCCAAATACAGCTCAAGAGGAAATCATCCAAAAAAGCAGAAGAACACAAGTTTGGGATGTCTCGCATGCGAGACAGTCTTTACTGTCTCGCCAGGCGAGACAGCATTCTCTGTCTCGCCAGCGCCGAGACAGCAAATGCTGTCTCCCGAGCACTGTTCATCAACGGGCTATAAATACCCCGAGGTGATTTCTTTGAAGGAGGTTGATCATTTTGAGCACTTCAGAGCAATCCAGAGCAGGGAGAGAGCAGAGTTCTTGAGCCTCCGGCAACTCCTTGATATTCAGGCTTTGACTTGATTTCAAGAAGAACGACTATCTTACTTCGATAAGATATCGTTTCAAGTTCTCACTTCGATAAACGAAGTCAGAATCATAAACCCCTCACGATTCGATCAGAATCTGTGATTTGGTGGTCCCCGGGCTAACGCACCCCCGGCACAGGTAAAGATCCCACGCAAGCAGTGATCCAAACAACGATCCTGCGTTTGTTTCCCAAGAGTTATAATTTTCATTTTGTTGTGTAAAAGAAGTCTTATAAAAAGGCTATCTCTTTTTGAATTTATTGTAATCGACTGAAGATATAATGAATTCCATGACAAAACCAACTTTCATGAAATCATACTATTTCCTGGACAAATATCTTTGCATACATCTCCACTGTACAAGTCGTTTTCACAGCAAAATTTCACCGACTACATCAACGAATCAATTATCATCCAAAAGATTCATTTTCTTTCTTTGATCTTAGCATCCCTTTAATGAAATTCATAGATATATCTTCCCACTTTCACTCTGGAATGGGTAAAGGCTGTAGGGTTCTAGCTGGTCTCTGACGTACTGCCTTCACTTATTAGAAGGTAGAACATTTAGCTACATATTTCAAAATCTCCTTACGCACGCCGCTCCGTTAACACGTCCTTTCAACTCTTTGTACATTTTCGATGTGTCTAGATGTACGATATGCCTCATCCGATAAATCCTTCTTAAGTTGTGGATAACCCGACATCACTAGCCGACCTTCCATTTAGAAACCCCCGTCTGTTTCAATAGTTCATTTTGCTTAAATCTTTATAGAAGTTACCTTCTTTTGGATTTTTAATCTAAGAATCTCTTAACTGGGTACTGATCTTTCCATAACTCCAAGATGACTTCACTGATAAAGCTCCTAAGAAAATGTTGTTTCTGCTAATCTCCTGTCTAAAGCTAATCTGGCTGAGAGTTTAAAGTTCTCGATACAATAAACATTAAACATTTTAAAACTATAATCTCTCAACGACGCTTCCTTCTCAACGTGTCTACTACAACGCTCGTCTTTTCCTAATTAATACTAAATCGCAAACTCATAATCTTTAATAAACTGGACTCTTTGCCGGTGCCTCTGGTTATACTTCTTTTGGGATAAAGGTACTTCCAAACTCTAATAATCCGTGTATAGTTTCTTTGGTACTCCATAGGAATGATGTCTTTACTTCTTCAATGCGAAAACCACTACTGTCGGCTTTAAATCATGTGTGAGAAAATTTTGCTCATGAGTCCTCAATTGCCTTAAAATATAAGTCATTACTAAAAGGCCCTAGAGGGGGGGAGGGTTGAATAGGGTTTATGTACAAATAATATGCAATTAAAATATATTCCAACAAACCACACACAAATATGAAATGTAATGATAATAAAAGAGAGTAGGGATAGAGATAGTTAGCCAATTGATGACACGCGGTATGTTCATGAGGTTCAGTCTGCTGACCTACGTTCCCGCTCCCTACTCTCAAGGAGAAATCCACTACACACCCGGTTTGGAAGCCGGAACTTCTTCTACACAACGATCTCCACCGAGATCTGATAACCACACAATAGATCTCCACGAGATCAAGCTCATAACAGTAGTAAATCAAAGAAAAGCTCTCTCTTTACAGTAGCCCTATGGCAAGAGAGGAGATTGCAATTGAAGCTTGGGATGTGGGCTTTAAAATAGTAAAAGCAAATGAAAGTTGAAGCTCTTTGAAAACAATAAACTCAAACACAAGAGATTTGCAATGAAACCCTCTCGATTCGTTCCATGAACGAGAGGTCCACAAATTGAACGATCAAACCTTTAAACAGTTAGGATCGTCTCAAATTCCCATCTTGGTCAAACCTTTAAACAGTTAGGACCAAAGCCAAAATCCCCTCTCGATTCGTTCCATGAACGAGAGGTCCACAAATTGAACGATCAAACCTTTAAACAGTTAGGATCGTCTCAAATTCCCATCTTGGTCAAACCTTTAAACAGTTAGGACCAAAGCCAAAATCCCCTCTCGATTCGTTCCATGAACGAGAGGTCCACAAATTGAACGATCAAACCTTTAAACAGTTAGGATCGTCTCAAATTCCCATCTTGGTCAAACCTTTAAACAGTTAGGACCAAAGCCAAAATCCCCTCTCGATTCGTTCCATGAACGAGAGGTCCACAAATTGAACGATCAAACCTTTAAACAGTTAGGATCGTCTCAAATTCCCATCTTGGTCAAACCTTTAAACAGTTAGGACCAAAGCCAAAATCCCCTCTCGATTCGTTCCATGAACGAGAGGTCCACAAATTGAACGATCAAACCTTTAAACAGTTAGGATCGTCTCAAATTCCCATCTTGGTCAAACCTTTAAACAGTTAGGACCAAAGCCAAAATCCCCTCTCGATTCGTTCCATGAACGAGAGGTCCACAAATTGAACGATCAAACCTTTAAACAGTTAGGATCGTCTCAAATTCCCATCTTGGTCAAACCTTTAAACAGTTAGGACCAAAGCCAAAATCCCCTCTCGATTCGTTCCATGAACG